CTTGGAGAAGAGGATGAAGTTGGGGGCCCTCCTACCTGGGTCCTTGGATGTTTTTTTCCAGATGTTGATAGGAGTGGCACCAGCCTACACGGGAGCCTACTCGTAATACCGGTTCAGATTTGACACTTAGCTATTTAGTTGGGGTGTGCATGTCTCTTCTTTTTGATCAGTATTGGTTCGGTACATTGTTCATGGAAGAGGGTCCACTGCCTGCTGGTAATACTCTCTATGCCTACAGGTTGGGATCCACTCATAACTATGTATATATAATATTTGCAGTCCAATTGCCGTAGTCACCAACGTCGGATATAGGGACCATAACCCCTTAATTCCAACCCCGAGTAGTGGAACCTTGGCTATCTAGTTGGGATGTGGCCTATAGTGAAAATAGTTCATGTAAAATTCCACCCATGATACAGGAATTAAATTCCAGTTGAAGAGCATACCTCTTCTGGATGTAGTGCAGTTCCCCCACTCAGGTGCCAATCTTCTGTTGATACACCCATGATCTATTCAGACTCTTTCTGTATGGATAATGTCCTCACCAGCCCCTCCACTTCTCAGTGTGGTATTCTACCTATAAGTGGGAGTGGAAGTAAGTATGTTTTGGAAGTTAACATTTTCCTAAATTGAAAATCTATTTCCAATAATACCCTTCCTTTTCACCAAGAGCCTATGTTAGAGACTGGGATTGAGTCAGTCTCGAAAAAGTAATAACATTATCTGATTGAGGTGCTTAAATACAGTACCAGGATAGAGAGCGCATTGACATAGGTGGAGAGTGTCACGAGATAAATATTGCCAAGGGCAATTGAGTGGGGTATAAAAGACTGTTACAAGTGAGAAAAAATCAGATCAATGTTTAGATGAGCAAATGAAGAAACCCTGGCAGTCAAGTAATGGCTATAAGTGTGTATTATTGGAAATGAATTTTCAATTCAGGAAAATGTTAACTTCTGGATCATGTGATATGCAAAAAATGTGGTGACTTGCAATAAATGAAACATTTTGAAAATATCTACATTAATATAAGAAGGGAGAAAATGCATGGTATGCCTACATACCATAAATATTGTTCAAGCTAAACTTGCACATAAATGTAGTATGTGGTTAACCTTACTGTTTACCCATTGTTTAACAGTTGCAGAAAAATTTCACGATTCCTTTAGATTAAATGAATAATGTCAAATATTGTTTCACTGAAGTGGCCAGTTTTGGTTTTGTATTTAAAGATTACAAAGAACTATAGTCATCAATGTTATCAAGTGTGACTGAAGTTGTTAGGTTTCATTCCAGGAACAAATGCGTATGACATGTCTGCCAGGGTGACTTCTCCATCAGGTGAGACAGAAGATGCTGAGATCCTAGATTTGGAAGATTGTCTCTATGCTATTCATTTTGTACCAAAAGAAGTTGGTGTTCATACAGTGAGTGTCCGCTACAAGGATATTCATATCCCTGGGTCACCTTTCCAGTTCACTGTGGGTCCACTTCATGACTATGGTTCCCACAGAGTGCATGCAGGAGGTCCAGGCTTGGAAAGGGGCATTACTGGTGAACCAGGTTTGTGTTTTATAAGACATATTGCTTGATCAAGTTATTTTGCAATGGGATCCTAAAATGGGTTGAAGATGGGATGCATTACTTTTTTCAGATAGAAATTGGGAAGGGTGTAGTGATCCCCACCACAACCATGCACAGGAAACAAAATAGAATTGGTTGGTTTATGATAAAGATTTAACAGATTTAAAAGATTTCTTATACCAACTTATAAAACATATTGTGATTAATTTGTAAATTCTCACCAGGTAATTTTTATAGACTATGATGAGGAAATTTATTTTCCTGTTACTAATTAATGCTTTAGGTTTTGAATGTAAACATTTTTATGGTTAGTTATATTTATCCCTACTAAAAAGTAAAACAGATTTGTTTAAAAATTTAACTAATTCCAGTTACATATGATTATGTTATTTTTTTTTAACAGCTAAGATAATTTGTAAGTTTCAGTTCTTAGCCAACAATTGGTACATAGATAAATCTTTAGCATCTGTCAGATGTAACTCAAGGCTGCTTGTATCTATATGCATTAAACTTATTATCACGTTTAAGTAGAATGTTTGTACCAAAAAGTGCTGGTGAACACTGTCGTCTAGACATAATATTTCTTCAGTGTAGCAGTGTATAAGCTGTGAGTCCAGCAAGAAAAGTTGGGTTCCTCCAGCTAGGGATTATTATGAATATTAATTATACATCCATATCACATAAGATTGACTAGACCTTCATGAACAACTCAATATGCAAATGTACCAGTTCTTTTAAAAAGTTCTGTTCACCGTTACTAAAAGGTATTACACTTTCTTAACTCATACCAGTGGTGGATCCAGAGTTGATCAAAAAGGGTGGCAACAACAGGGCACAAAGGGACCTGCAAGGAAGTGAGCGCTTATGGGGGGTCCGGGGGTTATATTGGCTTCACTAGCCTTCCCTCCTCTTTGTTCAGCATATGTTTGCAAACCAAAGATTGGCAGGTTGAATTTGCAAATACATAAAATGGATATTTGCACATAACATTCTTTTTTATTGCCAAAAAGGCCCCCCCCCTCTGGATCTGCCACTGCATATTGTTGATTTTGTACAACTCAAGATTGCATATGCTTGTTGTGTAAAGAATTCTAAAAGTTTTATCAACTTTAAGATAGATTATAAATCCATTTTTGATCAGTCCACACAGAGCCTATGACAGCTAAAATTTAGCCTACATGAAAAAATTTCTTTGCTTTTAGGGTTATGTGTGACAAAATTTTCACGCATTAAAGCCTATTCCATAAAGACTAACATAACACAGATACTTTTTGAATGAATTACTTAGGCTGGCACCTACTGGTTAGAGCCTGACTATTTATGACAAACATGTGGAAACAGCTACTTAAAGGAGGATAGGCCATTTAAGAATATTTTGTTCTTGACATTAAAACACAAAGTGAAAATACAAAGCATACGTTAATACTTTAGTAATTAAAGTGTGAATCAAAGTTCAACTGAAATGATGTCATAAAGGATTTGACAGTTTCTACAGATGACTATTTTTATAATAAATGAATACATAAAAATGTATTTTTTATCACAGTCAAAAATAAGAAGAGTAAAATCCTCAGATTCACAATCTGGGTACTACAGTCATGCTCATCCCATTTGATAAAATAAAGTGCCCTGTTAGAAACACTTAACAACCTTATTTAATTCTTTATCTAAAAACACTTTATAACTGAAAACTACTATTAAAGCTTTGATAGTAGTTTTCAGTTATAAAGTGTTTTTAGATAAAGAATTAAATAAGGTTGTTAAGTGTTTCTAACAGGGCACTTTATTTTATCAAATGGGATGAGCATGACTGTAGTACCCAGATTGTGAATCTGAGGATCTGCATTTCATGTCCTGTTGCCACAAAAATGCACTCATCACTTTGGGCTCATGAAAGCCAAATCCCATTGTTCAATCAGAAGAGAAGCCAAAGAGTTGTTGATGGGTGCTATCTTCTCTCTAGTCTGTTATTTGAAAAGTAGGAACATCTATATACTCATAGCTCTTGGTAAAGTTTTGTGCTAAAATTCTGAAATAACATTTCGTCAAACGATTTTTAAAGAAAAGTGGAAAAACTTCAATTAATTTTTTGTACTTAACCTTATATAAAAACAAATCACAAGATTGAAAGAAACCTTTGCTATAGTCATACATTTGAGCTTATACAAAATTTTAGTTGAAAACTATCAAGTTCAGACAGTCAATCATTGTGTGAAAGACATGTTTGGAGAGCTGTTAAAAGTTTTTAACACAGACAAGCTGCCCAGTTAGACTGTTTTGATGCACTTGCATGTATCTTCATCAGCTCTAAGAATAATCTCACAATCCTGGGTGCCCATGGCAACAACCCCTAGTATTTAATGTTGTAATTTTTATTGTTTAATTTTGTCTCCGTCAATTTTTTTAATTGTAGTATTCATTCTAATTACTTAATAAAGGTTTTATATGGTTGTTTAGTTTGTTTAAACGAAGCTTAAAAACAATATTAAGAAATTAATACCTGAGGTCAGTATGTAGAGCACCCACCTAGTGTACAAGAAAGTCAGTTATCACATTTATATTACATTGAATTGTGTATAATTGATTATGTAAACTATACTCAGTTTAATTTAATAAATAGAAATTTCAATGATGTAATCTGTACATTGTAAAATACATTAATATGTTGAAGAAAACTATAATTTTTCAGTGAAATGTTTCCCATATGAAAATATATTGGAACTGACAGTAGCTTTGCCTTTTTTAATCGCTACAAGTTGCCAGCTGCACAAAGCAGTTATACTTATACTGCTACTTTGTGAGACAATACAAACTAATCACATGGCTTCTTCCACTGAAGAAACAGTACAAGTTGATTATATATCTTCAGCTTCTTTATGTGATGCCACATTCTGTTCACCAAGCTGCTACTACTTGAGGAACCAGCACATACAAATCATTTATTATCTTGTGAGAAAACACACAATTCACCTGTTTCTAATACATGTGAAACAAAAATCCACCAATATGTTTTTTACTGTTTTATAAAAAAAATACACATGCCATTCACCTGGTTTTTTAGTGTCCTATGCTTTAGTTAGAAAATGGTTATGATTCACAAAAAATTTCTTAAGTTTTCAAAAACATGTTTATTTTCATCCAGACAAATCCTGGCTCTGCATCTAACACATCTGAGTACAGAAATGGAAATCTTAATTCCGGAAAATCAAATGTTAATTCAAATTTTAAAAATGATACAAATTTACCAACTTTTTTTATAACCATAAAGTTATTTTGAAATAAAAAAAAGGTATTAACTTTTACATACCTCATATTATAGATTTAATACCCTACTACATAGCTTATGAAGCATTATGGGGTTGCCCTAATTTTGCTTATACTTTGGTCAGTTGCTACTTTTCACAGAAAAAAAATGTAATTTAAGTTTCACAAATTACACAGGCCTGCAATGGTGTTATTTTCTTGAAATTTTTGCATGTGCTACAGTAATTACTGTATGCTGAATCCGAAAATGATATCCATTTTTCTCCATCATGTACAGATTTTTTACAAAATGTCATAATGCAATACTTAAAAGAAATACTACAACACACAGTTTGAGACTAAAAAATTAAAAAAAAATCAAACAAACTGAAGAAAAGGGAAGAACATTGATGTCAAACAAATATGCATCCTCATTCATCCTGTATTTTTGTTAACAAACATAATAATAAAAAATTTTCATTGTGGTAAATTAAATAATAATTTGATCTAACCAAGAGTTGTTGTTTTTTTCTTCCCAATTTGTAAAAAAATCCTTACGTGATAGAGAAAAATGAACATTATTTTCGAAATCTGCTTAGCTGAATTATGGAAAATCTATTATTTTATTTGTAAAATAATATGTGTTATTTGTAAAAAGATTTCGAAAATAGTTGCACTAAAAGAAAGCTTTGCTCCTTTATTTTAATCAAATTGTCTGTTGTTGTTGAGATAACATAAATGGATGAGATATTCCAAAACATTTTGAGGACACCTTGGGTAAGTGTACAGGCTGCCTTAAAGATGATACTATTTTGTTTAACTTTATAAATAGATTATGTAAGTTTTGTAATTTTTTGTAAGTTGAAGTTTTCCACCTTACTACAGCTGAGTTCAATGTCTGGACAAGGGAAGCTGGTGCTGGAAGCCTATCTCTGTCAATAGAAGGACCCTCAAAAGCTGAGATTGATTTCAAAGACCGAAAAGACGGCTCTTGCTACGTGTCCTATGTTGTTCAAGAACAAGGTAAGAAACATCACATATGGCAAGTCTTTTCAAGTCTTATCAATTTGTATATGGAGATTATAACTTTGGTATTCTGCTAACATTCTAATGTTATTTGTATTATTTTGTAGGTATATTACTTACAGTTAGAATGTTAATAATTTGGGATGCTGTTGGATAATTAATGTTATAATTAAGGTAATGTTATGGTATTAAGTATTCAATTTGAACAGTGTGACCATATGTCACAAGTATTCTAGTCTAACATGGTCAGTACAAGTATTATGGTTTTGATTAGAAGTGTTTCTGGCTAATAGTATAAGCATCTTTTCCACCTTAACCATAGTTTAAACATTCACTGTCTGCCAAAGAAAATGTTTGTCACTTGATTTACTATTGAACACCAGTGGTAGTAAAATCTCAACAAAATTCATGGACTTAATTAATTTCAGTCCTAGAGTCTTAAAAATGAAAAGCCCATATAGAATAATTGCTTGATAACTAAAAACTATAAAAATTAAAAGCAGCAATGTTAAAAGTTCATCTAATGCAAAATGTGTTGGTTTGTCAAAGAGCTATTTGATTGGCTGCTAATGCAAGATTTACAGATTGGAATTGTCTTTTGAGCCTAAATAATGTAATAAAATGCTGAGAAATATGTTAAAAGTTATTTTATTACCTTAATTGAATAAGAATATAAAAAATTGGCATATAGTGACTTATTAAACAGGCATACTTTAGTAATAGAACATATTACAGAAATATTAGACTGTGAATACTCTCTTATATTGTTTCGTGACTTTCAAAAGAATTAACCAATTGTAAAGCATCTTTTTAATGGTTTCTAAAATTAGATAGTTTTTCTTTATTGATTTGAAAATTGGAAATCAAAGTTTTGAAAACATTTTTTGTTAAGTGTTGAAACTTAAAGTTAATAATGTGAAATAGTAAAATAAATAAGCAAAAACATACACATTTGTTGATAGTTAGTAATCGATTCTCTGTTCTATACTTACCTAAGAACTAGTTTGTATTAAGCTGTTTTTCTTGCAGGGGACTATCATGTTGGAATTAAGTTCAATGATCAACACATCCCAGACAGTCCGTACAAAGTTCACATTCTCCCTCCTGCTAGTGATGCAAAAAATATTGAATTGGGTGCAATACCTGAGGCAAATCTCCAAGTAAACAAGCCCTTGGCTTTCACAGTTCACATGAATGGTGCCAAGGGGATGTTAGATGGGAAAGTAATTGCTCCCTCTGGAAGTGAAGATGATTGTTTTGTAGTTCCGATTGATGATGGTAAGCTCTCTAGTAGTATGTGAAGTTGGATTAAGTGCATTCATAAACAGTTCCATGGAGTAAAAACAGCATCTGTGAACAAGAAACACCAGTTCCAGTATTACACCTGACTTTAGTGGGTGTGTAGTCAAAAGTTGTAATAGAAGTGACAGTTATACATATACACCTGGAAAAAAGTTAAGCACCCCCGTGTTTTTTTCAAGTGATTCAGATTCGACGTTCTTGTGACTGATTATAAATTACCATTCAATCTAAACGTGTTT